GTACATGTATATATATTTATATATACATTACATATACATATATTTATATATCTATTTATCAATATACGTATATATATATATTTATATATACGTATTTTATCTATATATATATATATATGTATATACTTATATTATCTATATATATGTATATATACATATATATATATATTTATATATATATATGTGTGTGTGTGTCTGTGTATTTGATGTATAGATACATGTATAAGTACATGTATATATGTATATATATATATCATCATTCTGATTCTTTAGTGGCTGCGAGGTTGCAAGAGCGTGTTGAGGTTTTAGGGTTTTTGTACTTTTTCTTTCCTATTTTTATAATTACGTGCTGTGTTTAGCACTAGATTATTCCTTAGTTCTATTCAACATCAGAAAGTGTTCTGAGCTAGCCAGAATCGAAGAACGTATATCTATTGAATGTAGAGATGGGCTTTGCGCAAGAACTTTCATCGGCAGAAGTGTATAGCAGTTCACAACCGGCTTAAATATACATTCATCGTATTCTCATCAGTTCTGGCCGGGGCAAGTTGGCCGATCTACAAATAAACACCAAAGACCTTAAGGCAAAAGCGGACAAGGTGAACTTGTCCCCGCCTATGTCGCCTATGACTATGAGAAGAGGGTCGCCAGATTTGTCGCCATTGAACTCAGTGAGCCCTCAGGCACACCCTACGCAGTCCATTAGCGATGGTGTGGATAAGGTTCTGATGGCCCGAACCGCCATAGAACATATTGAGATCTTGCTACCGCAGCACACACAACATCACGGCACGGTAAGTGTATTTCATGCTATGTTGTTTATGTATATGTATACACATCAAGGTATATATCGATTGTCTATGTATATGTAGGTGAATATGTTGTGTACATGACTTAGGATACTTACTGATGAACCCGAACGACGAATGAAATTATTAGGCTCATGTGACTCCTACACACTCTGTATTAATGCTCGATATATATTTATATATATACATACATACCATACATACATATATATATATCATCTATATTATGTATTTTTTTGTATATGTGTAAGTTACTCTTCATAGGGTCATGTATTGGATGTAATCACTGTATATACACGTATTTGTTAGTATATACGTCTCGCACGTACAATAAAAAACGTAAATATTGAATAGGGCTGAATGCTGTGCTGAAGTGTAATGGCTCATACCACATAATACAATTCCCAAGCTCTTGCTAGGCTTTCATCTACATTAAAAACTTCTCACAGGCGTTTTATAGTATCACACCCCATCTGGACCCTTCGTTTTATCAACGGATATTCCACTGACCTTTCTATTTGTAGATATTCCACTGTATATACCAAATTCTATTTAAAAATATCCCACTGTACCTACCAATCTCTTTTTGTCATAGGCCTTCGGAGGACAGATCATGCAGTGGATGGCAGAGACGGGCTTCATCTCCGCACACCGAGTCATCACAGACACGCCCGTGCTCAAGAGTGTGGACGATGTGGTAGGTAGAGCAACGCATCTCACGAAACAGCAACTTGTCTTCGGTTGTATATAGTGCATATATATGCATATAGGTGTAAGAGGTTGAAGTCATTTGTATCTATACCCCCACATAGATAGATTTACGTACATGTGTGAATCTAGAATTGCAATGTACACGTGACCTTTGTGCATAGCCGAATGTGAAGAATCGTGGTTATTTGTATGTAGAACTAGTGGCTATGAGTTGCTTGCACTAGCTATGACTGCTTTTACTCAAAAGTTCGAATGATGCGGCAGGTATAGCAGCGCATGCGACAATACATTTGCGTTTTTCAAGTATGCATCGAGCACATACACATATAAGTAAAGATACACACGTACAGGTATGTATCTATAAGTTTAAACTGGTAGCCATCTTTGCCTGTGCTCAAAAATTGTGGATGATGTGGTGGGTATAGCAGCATAAATCACAACTAGTATGTTTTCTTTGTTCAACTGTATAAAGGGCATACGCATTTGAACAGTTGTAAATATACTTCATGCACATATATATTCACACATCGAAGCGCATATAACATGAAATGACTACTCCTATTATATGTATTGACTATTATATATGTACATTAGTATGTGCACACGCTGTTCTGTATCATCACTGTACACTGGGGCGAACGGATACACATCTCCTTTCGATTGATCAAAAATTCATTATTCAGAGTTGTACTATCGGTAATTTCACACGTATACGCTCTAGATTGACGCCCATATAACCACACTTATGTAGCACTTATGTAATCAGCACTATGTAACAATTAGGGGGTTTTTTTACACATAACATTTCATACCACGACCATCAGAGTGAACGACTCGCGTCGTTTGCCACGTTATTCAGTCACTCGTGGAAGGCATTGACGAAGATATGATAATACCCACATACATGCACATATAAATATCTTGTAGGCGCATAAATGTCTTTCCCCGCCCATGCATATATATATTAATATATATATATACATATATATATATATATATATATATACATATATATATTTATATATATATATTTTATATTTAACATATTTGTGTTTATATATTT